CAGCTCATAGCCTCTTCATCATCAAGACTTCTGCAGTGCCTCCTCGTGGCCACCCATGGAAACTAGGTACCTTGCGGTCCTAGGCCGAACTGTGAAGGCTCTTGGAGCAGCAGGAGGCCCTAAAGGTACGGAGTCATGGCCCACCGGCGTGTGGACACGCCCTGGCTTCGTACCAACTCCTGCCTCCATGCCCCCTGGGGTTAATGGGCGGCTGTGGGGAGGCAGGCCTTGCCAGTCTGCCCCCCGAGAGAAACCTTATTGGCACCAAAGCGTATAGTCGGTGGTGCTGGGGGGAGGGCAAAAGTCCCTCCTACCCAGCAAGTAAGGCGGGCTGTGGGTCCCTCTGGGTTGGCGACCGCTGGGACTCAGGTGGGGGGCGGGAGTTACCCGTTACCCCATCAGGGTCCTGGCGGCCGCCAGCCTGGCGTGATACTTGTGGGGGAAAGACCCCGGGAGCCCTGCAGGCGGATTATGGGGCCTGCAGCCAGCCAACCTCTGTATGGGGTGGCGTCGGTAGGGGTGGCAGAGGTGGCGTCCACCCGGAGCGACCGCCAGAGGTTAGACCTCAGGCGGGCTGTCATGGTGGGGGCTTGGAACGTCCGTTCCCTGCGACAGGATGATTGGTTACCACTACTGTCAAGGGAATTGAAGCGGCTAAGAGTTGAGGTGGTTGCTCTCTCGGAGGTGAGAAGACCTGGCAGCGGCACGATTAGTGTGGGTGGCTACACTTACTACTGGTCGGGCCGCAGCGATGGCCACCATCTCCAGGGAGTAGCTATAGCAATCTCCAGCCGACTTCAACCCTCGGTAGTAGAGGTCACTCCAGTCGATAAGCGTATAATGGTATTGAGACTGAAGCTTTCATTTGGCTTCATGTCTCTTATTGGTGTGTACGCTCCTACGGATGTATATAAACTTGAGGTGAAAGAGATGTTTTACGCCAAACTTGCATCTGTGGCAGACGGTTGTCCTCGGCGAGATATTCGTATTGTGCTGGGCGACTTCAATGCGGTATCCAGCTGTGATCGAACTGGCTACGAGATGTCTGTCAGTCCCCATGGCTCAGGAGCTGATGCAGGCAGCGAGAATAGCCTCCTTTTTCGTGACTTTGCTAAGTCCCAGAAATTGAGGATCTCTGGCTCCTGGTATCAGCGTTCTGATCCGCATCGCTGGACTTGGTACAGCGATACGGGTAGGGTGGCCAAGGAGATCGACCACATCCTCGTCAGCACTCAGTGGAGGATCCTCCAGAACTGCAGGATGTATTGAAGCGCCGAGTTCTGTGGAACTGATCATAGATTAGTTGTGGCTACTCTCCGGGTCCACTTTAGAACCCCCCGTCGACCAAATGAACACCCTAGGGTGTTTCATCTGGACAGACTGAGGGAGGATGAGTGTGCCCGGGGGTTTGCTGAGGCTATCTCTGGTCGTCTCACAGCACTCGAGGGCCAGACAGACCCTGTTGTTATGTGGAATTCCTTCAAACGTGAAACGCTTGATGCAGCTCAGGAATCCATTGGTGTACGCCCATGGGCAAGACAGAATTCCATCTCACAGGAAACACTGGAAGCCACAGAAGCTTGTCGTGCGGCTCGATTGTCAGGGGATCGCATTTTGCACCGCTCTCTGGTGCGCAGGACTAGGTCACTGTTGAGAAGGGATAAGGAACAGTTTATCAGTAATCTTGCAGAGGAGGTCGAAAGCCATTTCCTAGTAAATGACCTTCGTCCTGCCTACCAAGCTCTGAGAAAGCTGAACTCCAAGCCCTCCTCACAGACGACGGCAGTCCGCTCAGCAAGTGGCCAGGTAATCTCAGATCTTGATGGGGTGCGTGTGCGTTGGGCTGAGTATTTTGAGCAGCTGTATCAGGTTGATCCACCAACAGTTAACTTGGATGCTGGTAATGTTGAGACTCCTCTGCCAGACCCACCGATCAGCGAGGATCCACCCTCCCTGACTGAAGTCAAGGGGGCGATCTCCAAACTGAAGTGGTAAAGCAGCAGGTGTTTGTGGCATCCCAGCTGAATTGTTAAAGGCTGGTGGAGAACCTATGGCAAGGGGCTTGCATGCAATCCTGTCTGCCATCTGGCAGACTGGTACCATTCCACCTGCTGAGGGGTGTGGTGATCCCTCTCTGGAAGGGGAAAGGGGATCGGTGGGACTGCAGCAATCACCGAGGCATTACACTGCTTAGTGTACCAGGCAAGGTACTCGCCCACATCTTACTGAGACGTATCAGAGACCACCTCCTGAGGCACCAAAGACCGGAGCAATCTGGGTTCACTCCTGGAAAGTCCACAATAGACCGCATCCTGGCGCTTCGAGTCATTGTAGAGTTGTAGAGCACCGTCGTGAGTTCGGACGTGAGCTGCTCGCAGCCTACATCGATCTCAAGAAGGCGTTTGATACGGTGCATCGCGAATCACTCTGGGAGATCCTGAGACTGAGAGGAATTCCAACAAGGATTGTTGGGCTAATAGCAAACCTGTATACAGGCACT